GGGGGGGTTGATTACCAAAAGTACCTCTATAAATTTGGCGTTCTATATACTCCGTATATAGTAATAGAGGACTAATAAGTTAATTTCAAAGATATTTATGTATTTTGCTTTTGTTGATATGCTTTGAATATGTATTGTTTGAATCGGTATGCTATGTTATTGTATTGGGCTCTAATTATTGTATTAGGCCTAGTCTGTTTTGTGTGCCTATTTATATAAATGTAGGGCAGAAAAATTATGTACTTTAGAACTGTTGTCATAATACAGTTTGCCTTCGTTCTTGCATGTGGATGTAGCCAACACAATGTTGGTGAACGACGTTAAATCTGTGTCTTTACGTTTTCTGTTTGCTTCGATAACTCAATTACTCTATTCTGTAATAACAGCTTTATTCCCATTTTTAGTACTATTGGCTTTGTGGAACCGACGACTTGAGATTCGAATTTGTGGTTTCTCTTTTAGGATTTAGGCCATCCGGTGTGCTGAGTGGGGAAGGAAGGGGAAGGGCGGGATTGGGATGGGAACACTGCCCCCTCAGCCGGAATGGGAAAGGCCGGGTTCCCTCGTTTTTCTCGTTGGCAACGGTCCACTATTTCTTTTGAAAGTTAGCCGTTAGGTTTATAAAAAGATTCAAAAATTTTGAAAATTCTCATTATTTAAACATAACACTCAACTCATATTTTTCGAAGTTATTTTTTAGATATGAATTATTTTAAGGTTTTTATTCCAACCATGAATTGTACGCCAATATTTTTATTGTGTCTCAATTACTTTAATGTATCAATTTTATTATTACTTTTAATTTAATTTAAATGTGTAACTTTAAATGTTTGGAGTAAATTTTTATTGTTTTTGTATTTTTAGTTTAATTATATAAATTAAAATAAGTGTTATAAAATAAAAGTAAAAGTGAAGGGGAAAAGCGGAAGACATTTCCCTGGAAGGGAAAGAGAAAAAGAAAGTAAAATCTAACGTGTCGCTGAGTTAGAAGAATGGGAGAAGGAGAAGCCATTGGGCACACTCCATGGCCTTAGGAATCGCATTTATGTTATTCCACCACAAGTTCTTTGGCCACATTATTCCTAGATGGAGGCATATTACTTTAGTTTTTTAAATTCTATGGATGTTTTTTGTACTTTAATTAGATCCCATACATGTGCGTTGCACGACTAGTAATTTAGATGTGTGTAATAGTTATAGAGATTTTGTAATAGGAAGAGTCACACACCAATTTATAAAAGTACAAAGTTGAAGAGTCACGTACTATTTATTTATTTTGATTTGACATAAAGTTTACATCCACTCACGCACCAACTTTACTACACACACGGTTACCTAGCAATACACTACACATTTATTTATTTTGATTTGATATAAAGCTTGCATCGAGCCACACACCGACATTACTATGCACGCAGTTCCATATCAATACACTACCCATTTATATATTTAGATTTGACATAAACTTTGCATCGAGTCACGCACCAACTTTAATATGCACGTAGTTCCATAGCAATACACTACCATTTATTTATCTTGATTTGACATAAAGTTTGCATCAAGCCACACACCAACATTACTATGCACACGGTTCTATATCAATACACTATCCATTTATTTAATTTGATTTGACATAAAGTTTGCATCGAGCACACACCAACTTTAATACCCACGCGGTTCCATAGAAATACACTACCCATTTATTTATCCTGATTTAATATAAAGTTTACATTGAGCCACGCACCAACATTACTACGCACGTGATTCTAAATCAATACACTATCTATTTATTTATTTTGATTTGACAAAAAAGTTTGCATTGAGTCACGCAGCAACTTTACTATGCACGTGATTCCCTACCAATACACTACTCATTTATTTATTCTGATTTGACATAAAATTTGCATCAAGCCACGCACCAACATTATTACGCATGCGGTTCCATAGCAATACACTACCCATTTATTTATTTTGATTTAACATAAAGTTTGCATCGAGCCACGCACTAACTTCACTACGCACGCGGTTCCTTTGTATTACACTACTCATTTATTTATCTTGATTTTGACAGAAAGTTTGCATCGAGCCACACACCAACATTACTACGCTTGCGGTCCCATATCAATACACTACCCGTTTATTTATTTCGATTTGACATAAAGTTTGCATCGAGTCACGCATCAACTTTACTATGCACGCGATTCCCTAGCAATACACAATCCGTTCATTAATTTTGATTTGACAAAAAGTTTGCATGGAGCCAGACCCCAATATTATTACGCATGCATTTCTATATAAACACACTACCTATTTATTTATTTATTTATTTTTATTTGACATAAAGTTTGCATGGAGTCACGCACCAACTTTACTACGCACGTGGTTTCCTAGTAATAAACTACCCATTTATTTAATTTGATTTGACATAAAGTTTGGATCGAGTCACGCACCAACGTTATTACGCACATGGTTTCATATCAATACACTAACCATTTATTTATTTATTTTGATTTGACATAAAATTTGCATCGAGTCACGCACTAACTTTTCTACGCAGGCAGTTCTCTAGCAATGCATTACCCTTTTTTGTATTTTGATTTAACATAAAGTTTGCATCAAGCCACACACCAACATTACTACGCACACAATTCCATATCAATGCATTACACATTTATTTATTTTGATTTTACGTAAAGTTTGCATCGAGTCATGAAACCAATGGAGGGTGTTTATTATCACGTTTCCCCACAAAGTATCATTACCCATCGCATCCCATTAAACCTCTCGCCAGCCCAATTTAGCCCAATACATTTGGACGGAAAAATTGCACTGTTCATGTTTTACACATTACCTTTGTATAGATAAAGATTGATTACATCTTTTGAGTCACGAGGCAAAATGATGTATTCTTTAATCGTTTTACTTAAAAATTAGTATTAAGAAAAACAAAATTAAGAAAATTTCATAATTGGTCCTTGATAACAGGCGAGTTTCCTTATTTAGTCTTCTATTATCAAATATTACCCCGATGGTCTTTCTTTTATGGTTATCTTTCCACAAATAACTCTTTTTATCTTCTATCATGTTGGTGTTAATTTGAAGGCTTAAAGTGTAATTTCATAATGATAATATATATTTTTTATCATACATAATTCCAAAGGCCGCTCTTGATGCATCGTTTGTGAATTACATTTGCTTTCTACTACAACCATGGTCTACGGATGTGGTCTTTCATCAGAGTCCTAACTCACAATCATAGTCATTATTTTTGTGTTATTCATTTAACCAATATCAGAATATGTCACTGGACATAAGGTTGATGTCAAATTTTACTTTTAGCCTCTAAATTAACACTAACATGACAAAATTTTTAAAAGGGACCATTTATGGAAAGACACCCATAAAAGAAGAACTATGGGAGTAATATTTGATAATGGAGGACTGAATATAGAAATCATAATGTTATAAAGGACCTATTATAGAAATTACTCTTTATTTTATTATAGGTCAAATGTTAAAAATGATTGAATGAAAAAAAGTAAAAAATGCACAAATAATTCAGAACAGAGATAGTATTTGTTAAGAAAAATCTATGAGGACTCGCATATACGGAGTCATCCTTTATACTCCCTTCGTCCTTAAATATTTGTCACACTTATATTCCTGAGGCCAAATATCTAGTTTTTTCAATTCATTTTATTTACATATTGGTATAGAAATAAAAAATAAAATTTACATATCAAAAAACTACATGAAAAGTTTTTCGAAATAAGAGGTGTCAAGAGTATTTTATTTTATCAAATAACCAATGAAAACGTAGAAATAAACAAAAGTTTCCGCGACTGCTGAAAAAGCAAACGTTGCAAATAATTTGGGACGTAGGGAGTATATAAATTTGAGACTCCAATCTTTAAGAAATTGACATGTGTCATATTAAGAAGTTGACATGTGTCATATTAAGAAGTTGTCATGTGGTATATTAAGAATAATAAAAGCCTTTAAATAGGAGTAAAACATGTGTTATGTCTTTAAAGTAGGAGTCAAACTTAAACTCCTCTAAATAGGAGTACTTATTGCATTTCAATTCAATATCGCATCCCCTCCACTCCCCGATCGGTAAAACACCATAGTCCCGCCTTCTTTCTCTCACATCCTCATCACCGCCCCCCCTTCGCTGCTTCCTTCCGCCATCGCTCCCTTCCCTCTTGTTGCTATGCTTTTTCGATCCATTTGCATATCTCTTTTGGTTTATTCAAGAGATTTCTTCATGCTTGTATTT